ATCTTGAACTGTTTGTTTAGAGCAGTCTGTCCTGGTGTCAAGTCTTACATCAGAGGCATTTCTTCTGGGATTCCTCCATGTTTTTTTTGTATTAATATTCCCATCGGTTCGGACTGGCAGCCACCACCGTGTTTTACTATGGAGAAATTACGTCTTTAGATTAATGTGTTAATAAGCCACTTGCCAAACCATTTGTTTTACCTGAGCTATGTATATTTACAGTTCTGTCTGTATTACTGTGAGCCACTAGGTTACTTCTATAATGAATGCTAATCTGCTTAACTATTCAATTCACCCAGATTACCATTTCTTTATAGTTTTGTGCACATTCTTCACTGTTTGACCTTTGTGGGAACTGTACTACACGCATAAATGACACCAGTCAAATTAGCTCTATGCTAAACTTCACTACTATCTGAACTCAAGGCAGTTCCATTTTGCCTGTCTTTCTCTACCGGTTGAACTGAAGACATCTAGCCTTTATTAGGGACATCTGCAATATCCATCCATCCATCCATTTTCTAGCACGCTTATCCCGAGTTGGGTCAGGAGTGGTGCTGGTGCCTATCTCCAGCAGTCAATGGGCGAGAGGCGGGGTACACCCTGGGCAGGTCGCCAGTCCATCGCAGGGGAAGACAGAGACAAACATGAGAAACAACCATTCACGCACACACTCACACCTAAGGGGACTGTAGAGAAGCCAATTAACCTAACAGCCACGTTTTTGGACAAAAACATCTGCAATAATAAAGTGCAAATAAAAACATGAAACAGGAAAAATAAAATTGGAAAGAGAAGATTGCACTTCCTCTTTCAAAATAAAAGTTTCAAAGTAAAAGCATGCAAATGCATTAATGTAAATAAAGGAGATAAAAGGGGATATCTTTTGTTTTCTATTTGTCACAGTCTTGGTTTTCCATTTGTTGTCCCCTGCTGCCCTCTTGTGTCCTCTTTCCCTAGCTCTGTTTTCTGCTCTGCCCTCACCTGTTTCCAATCCCCTCGTTAGCCCTCTCTTTGTCTCTGTCCCCTTTAAAAGCCTCCCTCTTTAGTTCCTGTTTGCTGGATCCTCGTCTAACGTCTGTCTGCCTTCCTCATCTCTCCCTGGTTCCTAGAGTTTGGTTTTCCCCTGATGTCTCCTTGGTTCTGGTTCGATGTTATTTTGTTGGATTTTTTGATTCCTGCCTCAGTTCCTGTGAACCTTATTAAACCCACTTAAATTCACTTCTGCCTACTTGCCTCTGCATTTGGGTCCTCAAACCAACTCTAAATCCTGACACTATTAAGTTACACAGATTTAAGTTGATGCAGTCAGGGAATCTCCCTTTTTTGCTAACTGCAACTTCTGAATGTATTTAGTTGGAGTATATTCAGTCATAATATGGTAAAGTTCTCTGATTACAAAAAAAAACTGCCACACTTTTCAGAATTTTATTTATTATAAAGCATATTTCACCCAAATATCAGCTTCTTTAAGTCATTTGTGGTGGTAAAGTTACAAAAGTGATGAAAATATATTGCATTTTAACAATATTTTATTTTATTTATATGTGTTATCAGTTGCAACGAACAATTATATAAATTGTATTACCATCTGTAGGACTTATATATCTGATGATAAATGTCTTAAGGTCAAAGTAGGTAAACAATCATACAGGTATTAATATAATTCATCTAGCAGTCTGTTCACACAGTCTTTATTTCCTGGGCCACAGCAATTTTCACACTGTGGTTCACCCTGAGTTGCTATGTGAGTGGAGAAGGACCAGCGAAAAGAGTGTTATTATCACTGTCAGCATCAAAGTTCAGACTCAAATGCATTTTTGACACCTTCCCATTCAATGGGACCTGGACGGCCACTGAGCCTGTTAGAGCCGAGCAGACATGCATAAGAACCATTATGTTGGTTCTGTGACACAATAATCAAGTGAAGGCTGTCTGTACATCCAGCGCAAAGCAGGGATTTCAGAAGTTTACTGCCAGTTCAGCTGGCTTTGATCACGTCAGCTTCAAGTTGTGTAAACAGTTCACATGTAAACATGAAGCAAAGCAGGTGCGATTAAATGCATTAACAAATCCACCATGACTGACATTCAGAACTGCTCGTTATAAATCAGGCTTTCGGGTTGTTTTTCTGTTCTTTTCTGTAGTACACCGTTCAGTGTCTCACAGGATATGTGTCAAAGAGATTTTTGTTGTAAAACAGCAGTAAAACTAGAAGGAACTACATGCTGGAGAGCCGTCAACACATTTTTGTAGTGAAACACTGAGACATACGGCAGCATCTCTGAGAGCGCAGCCTGGGATCAGCTTCGATTTGCCGTGACCGAAGATGAAGACTGCAAGCGACAGTCCGGTCCAGATGAAGCTTTGTGGAGAGCTGTGTAAAATTCCTCATGACAAGTGGAGGCCAGAGCCTTGGATAGCAGAGAAATCCTCCTCAAGGATAAATCCCTTAGGCTAGAAATCCTGTCTGTTGATTGACTAAACCAAAAAGTTCTCTTAAAGGACTTTCTAATTAGCTTGAATTCTACACAATGAATCCCATAAATCTTGAGCAAATTGTGATGGAAAAATTCTAAAGTAGTTTAATGTAATATTTAAATGAGTTACCTTTATAACTCATTTATGCGTCTTCATCTTAAGGCATTGCATTTCCACATCACTAGAAAATCAAAGGGAAACAAAGCTTTCTTTTACACTTTACACAACATTATTTATGTTTAGATTTATGAAATAAGGTTAAAGTATTAAATTAGCAAAGTCCCATTGTCATCTGTCCAAACAGACATTTTTGCCCTGTAAATAAGCCTGAGTATTTCATTATTATGACTTGGCTATGATTATTATAAACCAGTGGCGGCTGGTGGAGTTTTGTCTGCGGGGGGCAAAATAGACGTATACCAAAATCCATACGTAAGTATACTAAGTTCATTGGCTACATCCAGCATGAACGTTTTAGCATACTCGCCATCAGTAAATGGTTTTCCACTCCTCAATATTGCTAAAGATCCCGCAAAACTAATTGAATTATAGTCACCTTGGTTGGTCCATACGCGGAGTTGAGGCTAGCTGGCACTGGAAAAATTATCTAGAAATAAGTGCAAATTTTATTTAATTAAGTGTGTTTACCCTTAATTTAAGTAGGTAAATTAGATAGTTTGCCAACTGAATGAGTATTTTTCCTCTTAAAATAAGATAATTAGATGATATGCACTTGAAATAAGACAATGGAATTGTGTTTTGTCTTATTTTAAGTGTAAATTGCCTTGTTCCATTGGCAAAATGTCTCTTTTACCTCCTTAATCCAAGAACAAATGCATTTATTTTAAGAAAAAAATTACTTATCTAGATTTTGATTTTTTTTCCAGTGTAGCACTCAGTAGTTCTTGGCATGCTTTCTTCCTGCTGTCTCCTGCAGGGTATTTTGATGCAAAGGTAGCATGGCTATCTAAGTAGAATTTTTGTAATTTTGCCTCTTTTATTGTCCAAGTTGATAATATAAAGACCATTTTTGTAAATGAATTAAAAATAATTATAATCATGTCTTACTGGCTGGTTTGTGTATTTCCTGACAGTTATTCCTTTCAAGGTTCTGCGTATGAGGTCTGAGTATGTTATTGCTTTCTGTAACAGAATAAAAAAAAATGCTGGTTTTCTTTTACAAAATTTAGTTTTTGGTTTGCATTAATCTACACAAAAGTGCATCATATAACATGAGAGATATTGGAATGGTGTAAAACCAGCTGAAACTAGGGTTTTGGAGTGTTGAACATGGTGCTTACAACATTTTGTTATCTCCGGTGGAGCCATCAGACCCGAAGACACTGAGCCACTTTTATTCTTTCCACATTAAAGCGCCATTACTTACTTGGTAAAATCCAGGTCCACCAAGTTGAGTTTAAACCAACAAGGCGATGGAACAAACAAACATATGCACAAATATTTTAATGAGTTAATCAAAGGTTCAGTCAGAAAAAGGCCAAAGGACCCCCTTCATTCAATGTTTACATGATTCTTCCCAAGAACTACCTAGCACGCTGCACAGCAAACATGATCTAACCTGGAAGAACACAAACAGCAGGTTTCTACTCATGTCAAAGCTCGTAGTTGTGTTTTAGTGAGAAAAGGTCAAGTCTGAGCTATTTCCGCATGCCTCTGTGCAGCTTTTTGCTCTTTCTCTTGTGTATTTTGTAAAAAGAATTTCAAGATTTCTACGAGAGGCCACTTAAACTCTCTTCTGCATGTGATTGCATATCAAATCTGAACAATCAAAAAGCAACACAAGTCAATTTTTGTCGAAAGAGTTTAATCCCTTGTGAAGAGCGTGAGAAGAAGGCACTCTAAGCCACAGGTGCTGAGTGTAATATTCATTTAAAAGAGAAGAGGCAGCACTCGTAGTCTGAGTACACTTCCCTGTGGATTTTGTCCTTCGCTCGTTGTAAATCCCTGCAGGGTGTTTGACAGCATCCTTGGTATATATCCAGCTCTTATTGTGTTTCTCATATGAAGGATTCTCATAGAGCAGAAAATAAATGAATCCAACCAATCTTTTATTTATTTATTTATGCCTCATCGCTAAAAATACCAGAGCTCTTGCTGGATTATTGGTTTATTGAGTTATTTTAATCCAAATCCTGAATTTGTTTGTTTTTATTAATAATTTGTCACATTTGGAATATTACATCTGCAGCCAATAACATTAAATAGAAAATTGCGGCTGTTGGGAAATAATGTTGGATTTAAATGTTTACATTCAGTTTCGTTTGGCTAAATGAGTAATGCTTATTTGTTTTAAATATAATTGAGGCACATTTCTCATTGTACTTAATGCCCTCAGTGTTGTATAGAAACCACTGATGCAGCAGCAGACTGTAACAAAAACCATGTTCTAATAGACTCTCTCTCTCTCTCTCTGTTTATCATCTCTCACCCTTGGAATCACCATCTGTTTGTCCATATTGTGTGATCTTCTGCTTCTGGTCCCTGCGGCTCACCACCAGACGCTACTTTTGGCCTCGCGTTCGCCGTCTTTCTTGTTTGTGGCCTCGCTCTGCTGGGTCTTCTCACATTAGTCTCCTGGAAGCTCTGCTGGGTGCCTTGGAGGAGCAAGGCTCAGTTCCCAAGCCCATCTCTCAGCCCGTCCGGTGACCTGGAGCACTGTCCGCACCAGCAATCCCTTCCTCCGCCCAGTCCCCAGCATCCGGTGGTCACCATGGCGACAGAGAAGGTGAAGGACCCCGTGGGTTCGATGGGCTTCCTTGAGGCTGCGGTGAAGATAAGCCGTACCTCCCCTGACATCCCTGCTGACGTGCAGCTCTCTATGAGGGAGCACTTCCTACGTCGCACGCAACGCATGCAGAGACAAACCACTGAGCCGGCGTCCTCCACACGGTTAGTCTATTGCATGCAAACCTCATTGTATAACAGTCAGATATGTTTTGTATGCTATCTAAAAACACTTGAGGTTGCATGCTCCTTATGCATACATAAGGAGTAAATGTTGTTCCATTATTGTTGCAAGCAAATGAAATAGAAATATTACAATAAACACTTTTCAAAAATTTAAACAAACTACAATTCAAACTTTTCAATTAAAAGCATGCTTCTGAGAGTAACTCTGCTGTTTTTTTTTTATTTCATTTGTTTCAAATTATTATATTTTTGAAATTTTATTTTGATAACTTATTGTTTCTCTAGTTAAGATGTTTTTTTAAATGCATTCTTTCCACATTATGTTTTACAGATCAAATTTTCTTTACTTTAAACCTAAACAAACAAATAAAAAATGTTGCTGCTAATCTCCACGCAGCAATACATCTTCACTCCTCTTTTCGAGCGAAATGATCACCGCCAAAAGTGAATAAAAGAAAAAATAAATAAATTTTAAAAAAATAGTTACGGTTATTATTAAAACCTTTTTTCTTCAATTAATATGTTTTTCAAAGATTGATTTCTGGATTGTATTTTTTATTTACACAAAGTGTCTTTTGCTTGCAACAATAATGTAACAGTTTTCGCTCCATAGATCCTGATTTCACAACATGCATGTTGGAAGCTCCATTTAAGAGGCATTACAGAGTTTTCTCATGATACTGCCACCTGTGGCCAAAACACAGAACTGCAGCACTCTTCTGCTTGTTATTGTAGCGAGCTCGTAAATAAGTTTTGTTTTTTTCTTTTTTCCTTTTTGTCAACCTACATATAATTTCCATTAGGGACTGATTTGAGCTGTGTACTGGTTGATTTGGATCATCTTTGTACATCTTGAAAGTAACTTTAAATTGTTTGCTAGATTATACCAAATTGAAATCACATCGCTGAACAGTGCAGGAACTTCCAAAGTATGTTTAGTGAAGATAGGCTACTGGCTTATAGATGCATCAGAACTAATGAGCTGCCAGTCTGCAAACGATGTTTTAGTCGCAAAGGTTCAAATAAAAAGGCTGTTTTAAAGATATTTTCAGTAAAAAAAACTTACATTATGTCTCTTTATTTTAACCTGGAATATAAAAAAAATGGGAAACAGAAATCACGCTGTAGCACATTTTCAAAGTGCAGCCTGAGAATAACTTCAACATTTATTCTCAAAATTTTTGTATGTTCTGGTTGTTGAGCATAATTCAGTTGCAGTTCTCTGTAGGTCATTGTCATATAGCTGATTTGAGTCCTCAGACCAATTAATGAAATAAAGTTGTACCGAAAGCATTTTGCAGTATGTTTGCAGCAGGTTAAAAAGCCAATATCAGTCTTTTATTAAATCTGTTTTACAGCCTTTTCCACAGTTATTAGCAACCAGGTCGAATATGTTTAAAAACCCTTGAAAAACACTCAGCATTTATTAAAGAATCTTATGCTGAAAGTCTCTGAAAATCATCACGCTTAATTTGAGCCTTTTCATGCATGTAGAGGAATGTCCCATTAAAAAATGACCCACAAATTTATATTCCCAGTGTTATAAGACTTGTGGATGAGTTTTTTTTTTCTATTAGGCTCAGTAGAATTTCTAAGATTATTCAATAAGTGATCCACAACTTTTGATCTAAATGGGGTAGAAGTATGACACAACACGGAGAGGAATTGATGTTCTTAGGTATTTCATTTTAGTCAAAACTTGGCTAATTAGACAGGTTTCCATAAGCTTATGAAGAACTGCTTTGCTGAAATGAAGTTATTGTAGCTTTTTTAATTAATGAATAAAGCTTTAATTTTAGTTTTTCTTAATGAAGATGCTTTATTGAACATTTCACCCATATTGGTTAGGACTAAGGTCAGGTTCATTCAACAGAGCTGACGTTGGCCAGCTTTATCCATTACAAAACCAGTTTTGACGACTGTTTGGAATCACTGTCCTCTTGGAACGGCCATTTTTCTTACCATCCAGCAGGTGATTTAAGGAGAAATATGACTGTTTGTGTTCAATATCCATCCTCTTGGCTCTGTATGCCAGTTTCACTCACAGCATATCAGTGGCCAGGCCAGCCACACTGACGTACAAGGGTATGTAAGTTTGGCATGGCTCAACACTCTCCTGCCTCAAACAGACCGGACCAATTGCATCATGGGAGGCGGGCCTATAATGCAACATCTCTTTACCGTGACTGTAGATATGGTAGTTGCAACAGATGATGCCCTTTATTGTGTCCCAAAGGAGCTGCTTATACTATTAAAACTGTGCTTGTGTCATAAAGGGTCTTTGTTTCATAAAGGGTCTTATTTAAAACAGACGTTTCATATTCACATGTACCTATTTTTACATGAGGTTTGTATGTACTCAGAGAAACAATGTTTTGCTACTTTCAAACACACCTTAGTTTCTATTCATTAAAGAAGTCAGCAACACAGTTCACCATGAGCTCAAAGTAATCTGCTTTACTACAATCTCTGCTCTATGTGATTAAATTCAAAAATTCTGTTTATATAATTTATAATTGGCTAGTGTATTTAGATGTTCTTTCTCTGCAAGATATCTGTGTTGTCAGGTCTGTTGCTAGGAGTGAAAATTGGTCCTCTGCCCTTTGTCAACACTTGTCTGTCTGAGTTTGTTAATTAAAAATATCCCACAGATTTTCCCTACATCCTCTTATACGCTTTTTACTCGTTTTGTTCTCTTTAGGCACAACTCTTTCAAAAGACACCTCCCCAGGCAGATGCAGGTGGGCAGTTTAGATTTGGGCAATGACTACATGGTGGACAGGGACGAAAAGCCAACCAGCCTGGGTCGCATCCAACCAGAGCTCTACCAACAGAAGGCCTCAGACTCAGAGGAGTCGTCCAAGAATGGCAAAGAGAAAAACTGTGGCAGGATTAACATCTCGCTCAAGTACGACTACGAAAATGAGGCATTAATCGTCAATATTCTCAGGGCAGTAGACCTACCAGCCAAGGACCTGTGCGGTACCTCTGACCCTTACGTCAAGGTCTACCTCCTACCTGATCGTAAGAAGTTCCAGACCCGTGTCCACCGGAAGACGCTCAACCCCACGTTTAACGAAAGCTTCCAGTTTCCCGTGCCTTACGACGAGCTGCCTGTGAGGAAGCTCCACATGAGCGTCTTTGACTTTGACAGATTTTCTCGGCATGATATGATTGGGGAAGTGGTGCTGGAGAACTTGTTCGAGACATCTGATCTTTCGAGGGAGACAAACATATGGAGGGACATCGAGTACGCAACAAGTGTAAGAATCATCTTTTTCCTGTTCTGTCTTTCAGAAGTATTGATTGTCTATACTTGCTTCTCTTCTCATGGATGTTTGGGGGTGGGGGGTGAGCTGCTGCCTATTTGCAGCTGTCACTGGATGAGAGGCAGGGTACACCTTAGGAAGATTGGCAGGATTTCTCCCCTTTGGATTTATTCATTTAATAAATGAACACATGATAATAAAATATTCCCAACCCCATTGTTTTAAAGGATATATGGTAAAGTCACTTAGCAATCTTTAAATGTATGCGCCAGTAACTCACTCTGGTTGCAATTAACATTTTTATGACAANCGATTTCAGGGCAAACTCCTACATCCAACGCCACTGTCGCCCCACTGAGCAAACTGATTCCAAAGGGGGTGTTTTCCTGTTTACCCAGCAACGGCCAACGTAGGGTTGTAGCTCAGGTGTGGCTCCTAAAGCATCAGACCTGTATTTCATGCATTCCTTGTTTCCTGAATCCCATACAGGATAGCAGTGAATATATAAATTTTGTGTATCCAGTTGGTCTTACTTTGCCTTTTTTCACTTTCTGATGATTAATTTTTATTTTTTTTAACCACAAACTCAGGAATGTGTGGATTAGCTTCTGTGACCCTGCTGCTACACATCAGAGGTGGATGACCTGTATTGGTTTTTCTATATTTCATGTATTTTCAAACGGCTTCATATTTAACTAAATATAAGTTTTTATTTATATTCATATTTATACATTTACATTGACTATTTAAATTGTAGACAGCTAACTTTATCAGTCTTATTTACTTGCTTGTATAATTTGCAACAGATTAAAGTTTTTGTTTTTTTTTATTTTTGCTTGCGTTATCAGGTACATTGAGGTTGCTGATCTCTGCTGAACATTTAGCAGTGGGTCATACCACTCACTGAGTGTTAACAGGGGAATTTGAAGTTTATCATTTGCTTCTGTTTCATTTTCTTCTTTTGGGTTGTTTATGTGAGTTAAACAGTATTTGTTCTCCTATATCTATATTGGTTAATAGTAGTCTGGCTGACATTTATTTGTTTCTTAGTTAAAATCTTTCTTTGTAAGGGTTTTCTGTTTTGTTTTGTTTATTTTCCCCCATCTGTCTCAACAGATGTCTGATCCACAACTATTTAATCCTCTTTATCCAAGTAGTTTTTGTAAAATTACCTCTTTTATTGTCCCAGTTGATAATTTAAAGACCATTTTTGTAAATTAATTAAAAATAATTATAATCATGTGTTACTGGCTGGTTTGTGTAATCCCTGACAGTTATTCCTTTCAAGCTTCTGCGTATGAGGTCTGAGAATGTTATTGCTTTCTGTCACATTGTTCCTGCAGTTCAAACTCAACCAGAGTAACAAAATAAAAAAAAGGCTGGTTTTCTTTTTCAATATTTAGTTTTTGGTTTGCATTAATCTACACAAAAGTGCATCATATAACATGAGAGATATTGGAATGGTGTAAAACCAGCTGAAACTAGGGTTTTGGAGTGTTGAACATGGTGCTTACAACATTTTGTTATCTCCGGTGGAGCCATCAGACCCGAAGACACTGAGCCACTTTTATTCTTTCCACATTAAAGCGCCATTACTTACTTGGTAAAATCCAGGTCCACCAAGTTGAGTTTAAACCAACAAGGCGATGGAACAAACAAACATATGCACAAATATTTTAATGAGTTAATCAAAGGTTCAGTCAGAAAAAGGCCAAAGGACCCCCTTCATTCAATGTTTACATGATTCTTCCCAAGAACTACCTAGCACGCTGCACAGCAAACATGATCTAACCTGGAAGAACACAAACAGCAGGTTTCTACTCATGTCAAAGCTCGTAGTTGTGTTTTAGTGAGAAAAGGTCAAGTCTGAGCTATTTCCGCATGCCTCTGTGCAGCTTTTTGCTCTTTCTCTTGTGTATTTTGTAAAAAGAATTTCAAGATTTCTACGAGAGGCCACTTAAACTCTCTTCTGCATGTGATTGCATATCAAATCTGAACAATCAAAAAGCAACACAAGTCAATTTTTGTCGAAAGAGTTTAATCCCTTGTGAAGAGCGTGAGAAGAAGGCACTCTAAGCCACAGGTGCTGAGTGTAATATTCATTTAAAAGAGAAGAGGCAGCACTCGTAGTCTGAGTACACTTCCCTGTGGATTTTGTCCTTCGCTCGTTGTAAATCCCTGCAGGGTGTTTGACAGCATCCTTGGTATATATCCAGCTCTTATTGTGTTTCTCATATGAAGGATTCTCATAGAGCAGAAAATAAATGAATCCAACCAATCTTTTATTTATTTATTTATGCCTCATCGCTAAAAATACCAGAGCTCTTGCTGGATTATTGGTTTATTGAGTTATTTTAATCCAAATCCTGAATTTGTTTGTTTTTATTAATAATTTGTCACATTTGGAATATTACATCTGCAGCCAATAACATTAAATAGAAAATTGCGGCTGTTGGGAAATAATGTTGGATTTAAATGTTTACATTCAGTTTCGTTTGGCTAAATGAGTAATGCTTATTTGTTTTAAATATAATTGAGGCACATTTCTCATTGTACTTAATGCCCTCAGTGTTGTATAGAAACCACTGATGCAGCAGCAGACTGTAACAAAAACCATGTTCTAATAGACTCTCTCTCTCTCTCTCTGTTTATCATCTCTCACCCTTGGAATCACCATCTGTTTGTCCATATTGTGTGATCTTCTGCTTCTGGTCCCTGCGGCTCACCACCAGACGCTACTTTTGGCCTCGCGTTCGCCGTCTTTCTTGTTTGTGGCCTCGCTCTGCTGGGTCTTCTCACATTAGTCTCCTGGAAGCTCTGCTGGGTGCCTTGGAGGAGCAAGGCTCAGTTCCCAAGCCCATCTCTCAGCCCGTCCGGTGACCTGGAGCACTGTCCGCACCAGCAATCCCTTCCTCCGCCCAGTCCCCAGCATCCGGTGGTCACCATGGCGACAGAGAAGGTGAAGGACCCCGTGGGTTCGATGGGCTTCCTTGAGGCTGCGGTGAAGATAAGCCGTACCTCCCCTGACATCCCTGCTGACGTGCAGCTCTCTATGAGGGAGCACTTCCTACGTCGCACGCAACGCATGCAGAGACAAACCACTGAGCCGGCGTCCTCCACACGGTTAGTCTATTGCATGCAAACCTCATTGTATAACAGTCAGATATGTTTTGTATGCTATCTAAAAACACTTGAGGTTGCATGCTCCTTATGCATACATAAGGAGTAAATGTTGTTCCATTATTGTTGCAAGCAAATGAAATAGAAATATTACAATAAACACTTTTCAAAAATTTAAACAAACTACAATTCAAACTTTTCAATTAAAAGCATGCTTCTGAGAGTAACTCTGCTGTTTTTTTTTTATTTCATTTGTTTCAAATTATTATATTTTTGAAATTTTATTTTGATAACTTATTGTTTCTCTAGTTAAGATGTTTTTTTAAATGCATTCTTTCCACATTATGTTTTACAGATCAAATTTTCTTTACTTTAAACCTAAACAAACAAATAAAAAATGTTGCTGCTAATCTCCACGCAGCAATACATCTTCACTCCTCTTTTCGAGCGAAATGATCACCGCCAAAAGTGAATAAAAGAAAAAATAAATAAATTTTAAAAAAATAGTTACGGTTATTATTAAAACCTTTTTTCTTCAATTAATATGTTTTTCAAAGATTGATTTCTGGATTGTATTTTTTATTTACACAAAGTGTCTTTTGCTTGCAACAATAATGTAACAGTTTTCGCTCCATAGATCCTGATTTCACAACATGCATGTTGGAAGCTCCATTTAAGAGGCATTACAGAGTTTTCTCATGATACTGCCACCTGTGGCCAAAACACAGAACTGCAGCACTCTTCTGCTTGTTATTGTAGCGAGCTCGTAAATAAGTTTTGTTTTTTTCTTTTTTCCTTTTTGTCAACCTACATATAATTTCCATTAGGGACTGATTTGAGCTGTGTACTGGTTGATTTGGATCATCTTTGTACATCTTGAAAGTAACTTTAAATTGTTTGCTAGATTATACCAAATTGAAATCACATCGCTGAACAGTGCAGGAACTTCCAAAGTATGTTTAGTGAAGATAGGCTACTGGCTTATAGATGCATCAGAACTAATGAGCTGCCAGTCTGCAAACGATGTTTTAGTCGCAAAGGTTCAAATAAAAAGGCTGTTTTAAAGATATTTTCAGTAAAAAAAACTTACATTATGTCTCTTTATTTTAACCTGGAATATAAAAAAAATGGGAAACAGAAATCACGCTGTAGCACATTTTCAAAGTGCAGCCTGAGAATAACTTCAACATTTATTCTCAAAATTTTTGTATGTTCTGGTTGTTGAGCATAATTCAGTTGCAGTTCTCTGTAGGTCATTGTCATATAGCTGATTTGAGTCCTCAGACCAATTAATGAAATAAAGTTGTACCGAAAGCATTTTGCAGTATGTTTGCAGCAGGTTAAAAAGCCAATATCAGTCTTTTATTAAATCTGTTTTACAGCCTTTTCCACAGTTATTAGCAACCAGGTCGAATATGTTTAAAAACCCTTGAAAAACACTCAGCATTTATTAAAGAATCTTATGCTGAAAGTCTCTGAAAATCATCACGCTTAATTTGAGCCTTTTCATGCATGTAGAGGAATGTCCCATTAAAAAATGACCCACAAATTTATATTCCCAGTGTTATAAGACTTGTGGATGAGTTTTTTTTTTCTATTAGGCTCAGTAGAATTTCTAAGATTATTCAATAAGTGATCCACAACTTTTGATCTAAATGGGGTAGAAGTATGACACAACACGGAGAGGAATTGATGTTCTTAGGTATTTCATTTTAGTCAAAACTTGGCTAATTAGACAGGTTTCCATAAGCTTATGAAGAACTGCTTTGCTGAAATGAAGTTATTGTAGCTTTTTTAATTAATGAATAAAGCTTTAATTTTAGTTTTTCTTAATGAAGATGCTTTATTGAACATTTCACCCATATTGGTTAGGACTAAGGTCAGGTTCATTCAACAGAGCTGACGTTGGCCAGCTTTATCCATTACAAAACCAGTTTTGACGACTGTTTGGAATCACTGTCCTCTTGGAACGGCCATTTTTCTTACCATCCAGCAGGTGATTTAAGGAGAAATATGACTGTTTGTGTTCAATATCCATCCTCTTGGCTCTGTATGCCAGTTTCACTCACAGCATATCAGTGGCCAGGCCAGCCACACTGACGTACAAGGGTATGTAAGTTTGGCATGGCTCAACACTCTCCTGCCTCAAACAGACCGGACCAATTGCATCATGGGAGGCGGGCCTATAATGCAACATCTCTTTACCGTGACTGTAGATATGGTAGTTGCAACAGATGATGCCCTTTATTGTGTCCCAAAGGAGCTGCTTATACTATTAAAACTGTGCTTGTGTCATAAAGGGTCTTTGTTTCATAAAGGGTCTTATTTAAAACAGACGTTTCATATTCACATGTACCTATTTTTACATGAGGTTTGTATGTACTCAGAGAAACAATGTTTTGCTACTTTCAAACACACCTTAGTTTCTATTCATTAAAGAAGTCAGCAACACAGTTCACCATGAGCTCAAAGTAATCTGCTTTACTACAATCTCTGCTCTATGTGATTAAATTCAAAAATTCTGTTTATATAATTTATAATTGGCTAGTGTATTTAGATGTTCTTTCTCTGCAAGATATCTGTGTTGTCAGGTCTGTTGCTAGGAGTGAAAATTGGTCCTCTGCCCTTTGTCAACACTTGTCTGTCTGAGTTTGTTAATTAAAAATATCCCACAGATTTTCCCTACATCCTCTTATACGCTTTTTACTCGTTTTGTTCTCTTTAGGCACAACTCTTTCAAAAGACACCTCCCCAGGCAGATGCAGGTGGGCAGTTTAGATTTGGGCAATGACTACATGGTGGACAGGGACGAAAAGCCAACCAGCCTGGGTCGCATCCAACCAGAGCTCTACCAACAGAAGGCCTCAGACTCAGAGGAGTCGTCCAAGAATGGCAAAGAGAAAAACTGTGGCAGGATTAACATCTCGCTCAAGTACGACTACGAAAATGAGGCATTAATCGTCAATATTCTCAGGGCAGTAGACCTACCAGCCAAGGACCTGTGCGGTACCTCTGACCCTTACGTCAAGGTCTACCTCCTACCTGATCGTAAGAAGTTCCAGACCCGTGTCCACCGGAAGACGCTCAACCCCACGTTTAACGAAAGCTTCCAGTTTCCCGTGCCTTACGACGAGCTGCCTGTGAGGAAGCTCCACATGAGCGTCTTTGACTTTGACAGATTTTCTCGGCATGATATGATTGGGGAAGTGGTGCTGGAGAACTTGTTCGAGACATCTGATCTTTCGAGGGAGACAAACATATGGAGGGACATCGAGTACGCAACAAGTGTAAGAATCATCTTTTTCCTGTTCTGTCTTTCAGAAGTATTGATTGTCTATACTTGCTTCTCTTCTCATGGATGTTTGGGGGTGGGGGGTGAGCTGCTGCCTATTTGCAGCTGTCACTGGATGAGAGGCAGGGTACACCTTAGGAAGATTGGCAGGATTTCTCCCCTTTGGATTTATTCATTTAATAAATGAACACATGATAATAAAATATTCCCAACCCCATTGTTTTAAAGGATATATGGTAAAGTTACTTAGCAATCTTTAAATGTATGCGCCAGTAACTCACTCTGGTTGCAATTAACATTTTTATGACAACTTGCAGCTTCCTATTAACCTGACTCCACAAGATGGATTTGCTCCGCATATCCATCTGGAAACCTTCCATTGAAGTAATTTTGGGAAGGGGCGAAAATANAAAGCCAACGCTGATTGGACGTTCGTTTGGTGAACGGCTCCAAATTTTCTTTAATGAGAGTCTCCAGACTGATCTGCGAGTGAAACCTTGAAAGCTCGCGAGATCAGGATGGTCTCACGAGGCTAGCTCCCCGCTGGCCTAGTGTTTGTGATTTTTGTCCTTAGTGCTTTGCTTTTCGTCACTTTGTTAGTAAATATATCCTTTCTGTGTATATCTACCAAAAGAACATTAGCAGATTATGTCACTGCGCATGTGTACAGATGGTCAGCAAGGAAAAGCAATGGAGGCGAGCAAGTATGGAGCTCCAAGAGTAGTTATGTAAAAAAAAGTCCAAGATCAACTGTAAATAGGTGCAAAAAGTGTTTCATTGTAAGAGGGATAAGGGAAGCAGTGTGGGCTTAAGGGTTTTGCTCAAGTACCTAGAATGGAGGCGAACCGAGTACTTGCAACCTTCTCAGAGCACAAGTGTACTGCTTTAACCCACTAGGACAACACTCCCACACTCTTTTCTGGTTCTTACAGTCTGAAACAATGCAGCCTGCACACCACACAATGAGACAGCTTGTCAGAACGCTCTCTATGCTGCTTCTATAGAAGTTTGTGAGGATGGGTGGGTACAGGTGGGCTCTCCTCATTCTCCGCAGTAAATACAAGCTCTTTTGTGCCCTTTTAACCAGTGAGGAGGTGTTCATATTCCAGGTGAGGTTCTTTGTGATGCGCACCCAAAGGAATGTGGTACTGCTGACCACCTCTACAGCTAAGCTGTTGATGATCAGTGGAGTGTGGTTAGGTCGGTTCATCCTGAAGTCGAAGATTATCTATTTTGTCTTCTCCATGTTCTGGATCAGGCTGTTTTCTCTGCACCAGCCCACCAGCTGCTCCACTTCCTCTCTGTAGTCCAAGTCATTGTCTTCTCTGATGAGGCCCATCACCGTGGTGTCATCTGCAAACCTCACGATGTGATTGGTGGTGGACCTGGGAGTGCAGTCTTGTGTCATCAGAGTGAACGGCAGGGTTCTTAGAATGGGAGCCTGTGCTCAGGGTGATGACATCAGAGGTGTTCTTTCAAACCCTGCTGGACTGAGGTCTGTTTGTGAGCAAGTCTAACAGCCAATTGCAAAGAGGTGTATTGAAGCCCAGATGTTCCAGTTTTCCTATCAAATGCTGTAGGATGATGGTGTTGAAAGCTAAACTGAAGGCCCGCAACAGCATCCGCACGTGGTTGTTTTTCTCCTCCACGTGTGATGGGCTTAGGTGAAGATTGGAGGAATTGCTGTCCTCAGTGGAGTCCGTTGGTAGGCGAACTGGAACGGGTCGAATGTTGGGAGGACACTGGAGACGATGTGTTCTTTGACCAGCTTTTTAAAGCATGTCATCACAATGGGAGTCAGTGCAACAGGCCGGTAGTCATTGAATGAGGTGACCTGAGGCTTCTTTGGGACCAGAATGATTGAGGCAGACTTAAAGCATGCTGGCACTATGGCTCGGTCCAGCGAGGTGTTAGAAATGTCTGTGAGGACACCAGTCAGTTGACCTGCACACTCCTTGAACACCCGACCAGGAATGTTATCGGGACCTGGTGCCTTTCTTGGGTTGACTCTCCTCAGAGTCTTCCACACGTCAGCTGTGGCAAGGAAAAGTTCCTCCTCTCCATGATGTGTAACAGCTTTCACTGCTGGAGTGGTGTTTAGTGCATCAAACCTTCCAAATAAGTTGTTTAGTCTATTTAGGAACTCAAATCAGCTACGCCCACCGAGGGTGAGGGTGTGTTGTAATCTGTGATTATCTGTATAGCTTGCCATATCCTCCTGGTGTTGCTCACATCATGGAGGAGATCTTGGATCTTCTGTCTGTTGTTCTGCTTCACTTATCTGATGGCACGGTTCAAGTTGGCTCGCACTGTCCTCAGTGCCTCACTGTCATCAGACTTTAAGGCTGAGTTCTGTGTTGTTAGAGATTTCCGATCCTCCCCAGTCATCCAGGGTCGCTGGTTGGATGACAATGTTCCTTGTGGTGCTGACGTCGTCAATGCATTTGCTGCTGTAGTCAGACGCAGTCATGGTACACCCATCGATATTTATCATTATTATCATAGGTTGCTGCAGCTTTGAACATGTTCCAGTCAGAACATTCAAAACTGTCCTGGAGTGTCTGCATGGCCCCCTCCATCCACACCCTGACCTGCTTTACTGTTGGTTTAGTCCTGGAATTAGCATGACAGATCTAATGACTCAAGGTGGGGGCAGGGGCCTGACCTGAATGCATCCCTTATGTTTGAATAAATTAAAGGGTCAGATTGGACGTTTGAACACAGCTAATTTTTTCACCTGTGTAAACCATACTTGGTTGATGATACAGTTAAGTCTTAGTTGATTGGAACCTAAATAGTAAACACAGGAATAATAACAATACCAGAGTTATTTTTTATCATTTGCATTTGACAGGCATAAATTTGGACAATGCCACATTGCATCTCTTTCAAGCTCAGAACAGTAGAATCCAGTATTTGAGGCGGACAAACATGTTTCTAAACAGGTTTATTGTAAACTGAACCAAAGTGAACAGCGTGGGTGTCTAAAGCAGGAACTTCTGCAGGAGGAGACAACAGATTACTGACCATGTGTTTCTGGAAGTGGATGATTACAAACGTGGGACTCACTAACCTGGTCTTATATTTTGATTGCCCCACAGAGCCCCAGACACTGATGTATCGGTGGTCAGAGGACAGGCAGTGGATAAGTCTAGAGTGTTATGTCCCTGAGTTGCTTAGTCCATATGTTGGTAAAAATGAGGAAGCACAGTCTTCAAATTAGCCTGGTTAAAATCCCCAGCAAGGATGAAAACTCCCTCTGTATGTGCAGATTGAAACTCAGAGATAGCCTGATGTAGAATTAGCACTGGGGGGACATATACAGCAGTGTCCTTATGTGTGGTGACCTATCCAGGGTTTACAATGTCTTTTAACCATAGACCACTGGAGATAGGCAACAGCCCTACTGTGAGCTTGAAGGAAAAGCCGTAGAAAATGGATTGATATTGGATAAATTAATACATTTTACATCTGCTAATTTCATGGTGCATTCATTTAATTCTTGGGACATTCACATTTATCTATTAAATATTATATTGATGCCCCTGGGATACCCCACTTGGTGTTTGGTGACTTCATGGGGTAGGTTCTAACCTCTATTTTGGGAACCTGTTGTTTAAAAAAATTACATCTACTCAATAATGTATTATAGTGGGCCTGTGATGCTTTCCTCACATATTTAATTCTTGTTTTTTTGCAGCTGGAGTGTTTGTTGCTCAGTCTCATTTGACTAAGGGGATCCTATTTAAAGCCCTAACAGCAGAACCGTTTTAAATTTATGAGGTTAGAACCAAATAAAGGTTTTTGTTGTCTCTTAAACTATTTGACATTTCTTTAATGAAGTCTTTCCATTTAATGTGGCCAAGTGTCATTCAGATTATTTAGGTTCTCTTATTCTATTGATTAGATCTCCTCAAATTAAGTGTTGGATTTAGTTGTTTTTTTTCTTTTCCGGTGGGATTATATGTCTATATTAGATGTTTTAACTGATGTTTTAACAGACCTGTGATGCCAATAAGCATGTGTGTGTGCATGTTAGACTAAGTAACTTTTAAAGCTACTTCTGAACAATTTCTAGAGGCCATCTTCAAGAATGGCATGTTTACTTGTTGTTGGCAGCACATTAGGCGCCTCAGAGCCCTTGTCACTTTATCACCTCCACAGGGTACCATTATCTGACAGCTCCGCGTGCTTCAGTTGTTGAACTTCTTCGGGGTTTGTCCAATAATCTCAACATTATTGCTTTGTGGGCAGAAAATGCAGGCAGCCTTTCTTGGCACACTAACTTGATTGAACCATCGATTGATTTTCTGACAAAACTCCTTGCTCTGCATCAACTCCAAGATAGGTAACATAAGAATGCTTAGATGGTAAGTGTTCAGCTGAAACAAAAAGCAAATGTAATTGTTGTTTGTTGTAAAACGTTGTAAGATTTAATGAGTGCAAAAGATATCAATACTGAGCACTCTTGGAATCTAGGATTAGAGGGAGATAATTACTGATAACCTCAACCTTTAAGGTAAGGATTAAAAGTGCTGTAGATAGTAGATACAAAACGGATTTCAAGCAATTTGACCCCTGTCTCTGTTCAAAACATAGTATTACAAAACATTTTAACTGGCTAATAACATTAATAAATAGAGGTAATTGAATGATTTGACAGTGTGACTAACAACTGTGTGTAAAAATCTAGAAAGGAACTAGCGACTACAGTAGATGTGTAAACTCTACCAAAAAATATCTGATCTTTTTCACAAACAAATTAAAATACTATAGGATATTTAAGTCTGATTTTTTCATTCTTGTTTGCGGTAGTGCTAACGTGCTGACATGTGCTTCTGGCAGTTCATAAAGGTCACGCAGATGTGATGCAGATCCTGGATTTATTTTTAATTATTTATGGGACTTTAGAAGCGCTCCAAATGTCAAAAGTATAACATCAATATTAGTAGGTCACCAAACCCCCTTCACCTATGTTTTCAGCTCTTTTTGAAA